ATGTGCAGCTAGAATTGTCACAGGCTTAACTCTGTTAGCTTCTAAAGATGCACTTTACTTTGAAACTGGATGGGAACCATTACATGAAAGAAGGAAAAATACTAGATTAACTACAATGTACAAAATTTATAATAATCAAGTTCCTGAGTATCTGACTGATATAATCCCAAATTTGCGTTGTAATTCATCAAGTTACAGTACGAGAAATTCACAAAACTATAACATACCCAAATGCAGATTACAAACATACAAGTCAACTTTCATTCCCCTTGTTATTGATGAATGGAACTCATTACCTCTTGTTGTAAGAAATTCTTCCTCATTATCTATTTTTAAAAAGTCTATTTCTTATAATAAAACTATGCCACCCTCTTACTTCAGTTACGGAAATCGACGCTTAAATATATTACATACAAGGCTTCGACACAACTGTGTACTTAATAGCGATCTTTTTCGATGTAATATAATCTTGAGTCCCTTATGTTCCTGTGGAAGAGTAGAGGACACCCATCATTATTTCTTCTCGTGCAAAAAATATACAGAAGCCAGAAAAGAATTTTTCGATAAATTTCTGCGAATGGGAAAATTACATACTGTCGATACTCACACATTACTCTGGGGAGATGAAAAGTTAAATAATGTTGAAAATGAATATTTATTTTCTATTGTACAAACATTTATTAAAAAGTCAGGTCGTTTTGGTTGATGCAATAATTACTTCTTGCAAATTCTATACAGCTTGTATATTGTATAATGTTTCTCTGATTATTATGCTTTTCTGTGTTTTATTCATTTTAAGCTGAAACCCATATATGTAAATATGTTTTGGTATAATTCATATGTAGGGAGAGGGCGTATTAAGTTTTAAGAACTTTTGCCCAATCCCAGTTGTAAAGTTTATAGACAATAAAATATGTTCAAACCCAAACCACTGCTAGAACAGATAGAAGCTATAGGATTTATTTATTTATAATTAATTAAAATAATAATGAAGGAGAATTTAAAATTCCCATATTTATAAATGTTTACGAAGTTAAACTTTAGTAATTCGTTCTATTTAGTTGAAGCCCCGAGTTGTCAACGGCTTCGTCTTCGGTGACCTCTCTCCAATTGCCTGACGTTTTCCTGGCTTTATTTTACGTGTTTTCCTGGCATGTAAAATATCAAATCGTTAAAAAAGCCAGGAAAACGTCAGATATTTCGGACTACCTCACCCTTAAAAACTTGCTTTTTGCATTCCCTCCCTTGTGTTGTAATCCTCGCTCACTCGCACTATTGCCCTGGGGATATCGCTCTCTTACCCTCTCCTTTAAGATTTCATGGTACTGTACTGTTTATAGATTATGAAAGCAATCATACACAGCTGTGCACCAACTAAATCAAATTTACCTGAAAACAGGCTATAACTGCTAACCTAACTTCTTTGGCAATGTGGTCAAAGACTTAGTAATTCTGACAGACAGCTGCAATGTAAAATATTTTCATTAAAAATGCTGTATAGATAATATGAGAACAACAAAATCAGCTACGGGTTATATCACACTTCAAGTCAAAGCAAAAATGTTTATCTACATAAATCATTGAATAAACTGTCACAGTTTTTTTTTAGTAACACAGTAATTGACAATGAAAGCTCTTTTAGATTACATTAGCTCTTAATTTCCAGATAAAATAAGTTTTTTTTTTATTATATTTCCGTGTGAAATGATATAGCAACATATAAGTCATGATACCGGTATTATACAGAAAATTTGAGAAAATATTAACTTCAAATCTGTGTCTTAGCCCCTTTAATTCAATATAATCTATAAGTAGAATCTGCTTATACTTAAAACAGTAAGATTTTCTTTTCCACATTGGGGAACAGATTTCATGACTCCATGTATAGACATTTTGACAAATCAAATATAAATATATAATCTTACTTTCTGGCATATTTTAAAAAAATCGAGGTTTAATCAAAGACATGATCTTTAATTATCTTTTGTATATTTTAAAAATTTATTTCTTAAATATTTTTGTTAACAATCTAAAAGTAATCCTAAAACGAGAGCTAATTTAATCAAACTTGAATTTTTTAGCTCACCTCAACGAAGTTAACACCTTCGACGTCACAGGTTAAAGTTTTTTGAGCAGATTTCTTTTCAAGTATTTCTATGCCCTATTTTAATCAGAGATGCATGGAGGATGCTTCTAATATGTAATTCATTGTACCAGTCAAGGTTTCAGATGCTGCAATTTCAGCTAAAGAATGACCATCCTCATAATGTCAAGGTTTTTGTGATTTCGGAACTCCACACAAACCCTTAAGTAAGTCGTTATTTAAAAGTTAAAAGCCACTTTTTCATTTGTTCCTGGTCTGGAACCAATCAGAAAACAGCTTTGTAGGAAAGTTTTGTTAACAAATATGACTCGTCTTTAAAATGCAAAGTGTCAATATTGTAGGATTTGTGACTAGTTACTTTTAATGAAACACCGGGGACTAATTTTTTGAAGATCGTCCTCCTTACAATCACAAAAGATATGCTCTGGAGTTGGGAAATTTCATAACGACGAATTTGAAAAATATATTCTCATTGTTTAGTTTATAATTACACATTACGTCATGTGTAACTACAAGCCCAACTTTTAAATAACGACTTATGTCAAGGGTTTGTGTAGAGTTCCGAAATCACAAAACCTTGAGATTGTGAGGATGAAGAATGACCAGATTAATGTTTTTTGTAGCAGGTTAAAGTTTTTGGAACAGGTTGAAGTTTTCGGTGCAGGTCTCATTTCCAAGTAACTAAAAGCCCTATATTGACCAAACTTGCATGAATAATACATCGAAGGATACACATTACCAGGTTTACTTCGGATGCTGGATCTGACCTATATTTTCCAGATGAGTGACCAGGGTATAAGGGCTATTTGAACCAAACTTGCATGGATGATGCATCAAATGAACACTCTCAAACTTGCTTCAGATGCTGGATTTGACTTTCATTTTCTGGTTGAATGACTAGTTTAAAGTTTTTAGGTAAGTCCATTCCCAAGTAACTGCAAGTCCTTTCAGACCATATTTTTTATGCACTTTTCCTTCGATAAAAGTCATACTTTCAAAATCATATTTTGTAAAATTTTGTTATCATTATGCATGTCTCCTCTTCCTGTTGGCTTTAATAGTGGAATATTTGGTTGTGGAATATTATAAGCATTATTTTGTATTTCTCTGACACGTCAGTACCTTCAGAGCCACAGAATACTGGTGATTCAGTCAAGGACAGTTTTTATTTTATCACTTTGGTGACTGAGTAGTATAGCATGTGTGGTGGAGTTATGATGCAACTGATATTTGAATACTGAGACAGTCATATCTGAATGTGAATTTGTTTCAATTCAAATTTAATAGGTTTAAACATCATTTTAATACAGGACTTATGTAAAGGCGTGATTGTACGAACTTATTTAAGATAGACAGACATATAATACTTTCATACTACTATGACCGCGTAGTTTGGGTCTAAAAAGATGTGTAGTTGATCGGGCAAGAGGGAATGTTGGCAGGGAAATGAGTGGCGCTATGGACCGGAAGTAGTAAAGCCGTATTCCTAGGGCTCTTCCCGAAAACACATATAAAAGTCCAAAGTAACGAGGAATTGGTTTCGGAATTTATTAACAAATCCCAACGATGGAAATGATTAACATGGAACAACAATAAACAGTAACCAGTTGGATATGGCCATAGCCTCCAAACTGTTAATAGTAGATTCTGAAATAGTTAAAACATGATGGGGAACGAGTCCGACGTGGCCGGTAGTACACCCGGCCTCCGAACTGACAAGTAAAATTTGACAATGGTATTTAAGAGGAATTGAACAATGAGTAAAAAATTACAGGTGTGACAATGAGTTAAAGTGATACAGGTAACAATAAATGAAATGCTTTGATGACATGGACATAAAGAACACCGATAATTAAATAATTACATAATGTTTGTATAAGGGGATTAAAAGTTCCTAGGGCATTAACACTCTGCCCCTTTGTCAGCCGACAAGTGTCACATAGTAATTATATGAACACTTAATAACTTAACATGAGAAAGATTTGTAAAATGCAAATTTTAAAACCAAATAATTTCAGAATATTAAATATCACATTAAAACAAAAATTAAATATAACATTTAGATCTCAAAATGAATTATGAATAAAACAGTCAATTTCACACGGTAATACTACTAATGAGTTTATCTTCGTTCAACTTGATTTGAAATGCTCATTTCATTCCCGGTAACCTATATATATAGGTATCACACCGGTAATTGACCAATCAAATTGTAGTTCCATACATAATAAAGAAATATTTTTTTTATTGTGAGAAATTTTATTTTTTCCCTTATTCTGTTTTTACATTTTTGGTATCTGTGCTTAGGATATTTTATGTACTTTGTAAAATATTAAAGGTTTTTGACAGGAACTATTTCTTTCGGGGCATAGGAGGCCACTTCCTGGGGTGCACACAGGATGTTTATAAACACATTGAATACACGTGGTTTTAAGGGTATTCCTGTTTGCGGATGGAAAAAAATCAGAAAATGCCGTGTACGTACCCTATTTTTGGTGTCAGCTGATGTGACTGGTAACGTTTAACATTTCCTGCTAAATATTTGTTCATGAATTCGAATACCTGATTTTTAATGATTTTTTATTCTATATAGAATTATATAGTGAAAACAATTACCGGTGTGATACCTATAAGTGGTAGGGCATTCGCAATCTCTACCCAGAGTTATCGTTCCCGCTACGCTCCACTAATAGCGTAATACGCCCTCTGGTGAGTGAAAATTCTCGAATGAAATGTTTAATCGTGCACTATCACTTTCTTTAATATAAAAAAATTAATTTTTTTTTCGAATGAATTTATATTTCATATAGTTAAAACAAACACATTGCAGGGAATCTGCTTTACTATTCTAAACATCTACGATTAAAAAAAACAACGCAAGAAAAATTAATTTTTGAAAATGTTTTCACAATCTTACATATTACACTAAAAATCAGAGATCATCACCGTCACAGCTACAGTGTTATAATCGGTTAATGAGTCAGACTTCAAGATCAACAGTCATATGGACCATCAAATCACAAGCGTTTGAAGCAGTCCTCTAAGAATTTCACCTGGTGTGGATGGAATCTGTCGTAGAGAGACAACACACGGTGTTTCTCCTTAAGTTTATGAAGTATAGGGTGTCGCTCAACTGAGTAAAGGCGGGGACTGTACAGCTGATCCCGAGGTAAATCCTGAGATCCCCTGTCTTTAACGTAAATCACAAAAACATCACCTGTACGAAAAAATATAAGTATTTATTTTAATTATCTACGGCACACTATTTTAAAAATAAAATCCTTAATGATCTAATGTAATGTAAATGATTCCCATGTTTTGTTTTGTTTTTGTTTGTTTTTGCATATTTGAAAAATTTCATTATTTTACTTTTAAAATTTAGAAATATATGTAACTGAAAGTGTATTTACAACAAAAAGTTTCCAAGTTCAGCCAAGAAGATACTGCACTAAATATTTAGGATCATTATCATATGACATTACAGTAGTTTTTCAATGTATGACAAAACTGTTGGTATTTCCTACAAGAGAATTTTTATATTCATTCTATCAGCTATCAACCTTGATTTATTCCAAGTTGCTTTTTTTTTTTTTTTTTTAAATCCTGACATTTTTAAAATGCACCGATAAAAATGTCTGATATCAATCATAGTGATAACTATACTTACCCTCTGCAAAAAGTAAATAAAAAAATAAAAATAAATGAAAATAAAATTAAAATGTTAAGAATAGTTTGTGGAGCAAACATTACTAGAATCTCGTCATTCGGGTACAGCAATAAAAGTATAAAATCCCCAATTATGTCTTTCCTTTTCGTGATACTTACACCCCATGTTGAGGAGTCCTTGAGTGGTCAGTCTCCTGAGGTCACCTATTTCTGTCTCTGGGTCCTCCAGGATAATGTTCCTCTCGTTAAAGTCAACAAATATAAACACAACCTTGGAGGGGGTAGTGTGTGGGATATCACTTGATCGATGGATAAGGCATGACTATATAATGCAAGAGAACATGAATATTATAACCAAGAGTTTCTGTTGAGACTGTAGCTAAGCTGTTTTGAATTCTCGCAACAACAAAAAAATCAACTTGGGGGATTCGTTTGTAGGATGCACTCATTCTGGATATATAGTAAGACTTAAATATAGAATTGCATTTTTGTAAGTTTTCAGAAGCATTTGAAGAGTGTCAAAACATACTACTCGCTTATATAGGAGGTTATAAGGCAGTTAAATCTTTAATCCCATCCCTCCTTACTCTTTCTAATGTGGATATAAAAAAAAAATCCGGACCTAAGGAACTACAAATTCATATCCCCAGGAAATCCTTATAAATAAGTTGAAACTCTAACAGAAAATATATATTTTTAAATACTTTTAATCGGAAAAAGTGATCATATCCTCGTCGAAAATAATCTTTTATACAGATTAGCCTTTCATTAAAATACAGAAAAACCACAGCGACACATACATGAATTTGTGTAGAAGTAGGTTTAGGGACTGCGTCTATAAGATTCTTATGAAACTGCTGTGTAGAAGAGGTAAAGCTTATAACATTTATTCCTGGCTCCAAATTTTGTCTGGATATACCTTCAACAATTTCAGATGGCAACTGTAAGAGATAAAAAGATTTGCTGTAACAGAATTGAGTTGATCGATCAACATTACTAACTTTTGAAACAACAGCTGTAAAAAGAGGCTTATCCGTAATGAACAACAGTGTCCACATCATGCAAACAAAGCACCTGACTAATGAAAGATCTCAATCTATATTTTAAAAAATTCTGGGTCGTATTTTTCATTAAATGTATTATTTATTGCAAAATTTAGATAAGTATTGTGTTCCCATTGACATGTTTTAAAACTATGATTAAAAAAAATAAATAAATTTATTATACGTGATGTAGCTATAGTGAATTAACTCCAAAAAAGCCAAATGTTCTGAAAATATTTTCAAAGATTTCCCCCAAAGTAACTTTGAACTCCAGCTGGTACTGAGAGCGATGTTTATATGAAATAGAGGGCAAACACTTTCTGCATCCATTTGATAACTTATGACCTTGCTGCGTTCTGGAGAGAACAAGACTGGATTCGTCTTTAATTAAATTACACGAGACTCCCTGCTTATTGCTGTAAAAACAAAGTAGTTTCGTAGTTTTCCCTGAATGACTTGTTGAAAGTGTCAGTAACAAAATTAAGAATTCTATTGATTTATATTCAAAGATATCAGTTCTCTTAAGGATAAGGTCACATTTACGATTTTCAAAATAATCAATCGTCGAATGCATCATTTGTCTGACTTTACAATATTACAGAGGACGATGTTCAGATAATGAAGAGAAATTAGCAATTTTCTACTGTAAAATATCGCTACGAAAAGGTGTTTAACATATATATATTCCACATGTAAGAATAAACTGCTTTGCTGTAAGAATGGTCAAGCCTCCTACCCTGGGCTGTGGGGCAGATTTAGCTGCTGTCTGGTCATAGACCGCTACAGGTGATTGCTTTGGCAACAAAATTTTATATGCAGTGAAAATGACACCAACAACCACTAGGAGCAAGAATCCCACAATGTACAGATCTAAAAAAACAACAACAAAAAACATATATTAAATATGTCTTATGATTGAATAGTACAAGTTTAGATATGTAAAAAGAAATGAATTCTGCGTATTTATGAAAAGCTTTACCTTAAAAGGTTTCATTAATAAATGAGTATTTCTCAAAGAGATTGTGACTAAGAAAGGGCATTAAAAGACATGTTGTAACAGGACTGTTTCCAAAAAAATTGTGTCTGTTGCACCATCGAGGATGTTAATCATTCAATCTTCAGTTCAAAGTGAATTTAAGGTTAAAATGAAAATGAAGCTTAATAGTAGATCAATTGAAGGTCAAAGACACAAAATTATCATCAAAATCTGAAAGTATTGTAATCATTCCGTATATATGCTAAATATGAAATCCTGACCTTTTAAAGACATAAAGAAATGTTTCAAGTTCTGTATCACGAGCTCTGTTATCCCAGTACCTTCTTAAAACTTGGTAGACAGGTATTTTTGATTTCGTTGAATAGTGTTGGACTGAATGATTACCAGAATTCTCAAATTAGAAATTCTTTCAAAAGCTATTCCTCCTATGGATTTCGTCTGATTTCAATAAAACTTGGTATATATGATCTAAAAATAGGTCAAATTAGGCTAACAATCAAAAAAGTCATTAAAATTGCGTTTTTCAGAAATGTCTTGAATGTGACACAATGCACATGCTACACTGTCTACCGGATATATCCAAGTCTTAACTAACCAAGATGAAAAGCAAAGTATCAAATCTGTGACTGATACTGTTTCAATATACAAGTGTAGGACAAGAAAGACAGACAAAACAGCAGAACAGACAACAGGTTAAGTGACCCCTGATTATCGCTCTACTTTGCTGATGACACAAAAAAGGATAATCACTGATATCATTAAGTTCAACAGAGAAGTAGTTTAACCGTCCGTGCACTCCAGCCATTTCGGATTCAAAATTCTCCTTTTCGGCATCAACTTTTTTGTTAATCGTCTCTGCCTTTTCATCAATCTTTTTATCAACTTGCTCCATCTTTATCTCTAATTCATTCACTTTTTTTTCAATGCTTATAAATTTTTCATTGACTTGTTTTTCTCTTTCTGTGGTATGATCGTGTAATTCTTTTAAATTTCCCTCCAGCTCCATGGCATAAGCCATTGTGGATTCAGCATTCCTCTTTTCGGCATCAATTTTTTTGTTAATTGTCTCTGCCTTTTCATCAATCTTCATATCAACATCCTTCACCATTATCACTATATTATTCACTCTTACACCAATGCTTCTAAATTTTTCACTGGTGTCCTCATCTGTTTTTGTATTATGACTCTTTAAATCGTTTATATATCCCGTCAGCTCCTTAATATTAGTCATTGTGGATTCAACTTTGCTTTTTTCGGCATCAACTTCTTCCTGAACCTTCTTTGATTTTTCATCCATTTCCGTGACACTTTTTAGTAATCTACTAATACTTTGCTTGACATAGGTGAATTGTCCATTAATAATCGTTTCTTCTTTTACAAAAGTTCTGTTAAATTCATTGAAATCCCCATCAAGCTTTTTAATGCTTGCATTAATTCTTTCAGTATCAAGAAACATTTTCTTCTTGAGTTCATCAATTTTTTCTTTCTGGTCATCTATTTTCTTGTCAGTTTCATCATAAAGTTTTCGTAAATCCTTTGATGAATTATTTTGAAGTATTTCTAAAATGACATTTAAAAATATTTTTAAAAAAATAGTATTTGCTATTAAAAAATTAGAACATTTACAAGCTTCTAAAACTTTTCAAGTGATATCCTTGTATTAAAAATCAAAACCTTCACTCTATATGTATCTTGAAAATTGCTTGTGCATTAAAAGCAAATCTTATTTGAATTATTATGTGATATTGTTTGACCAGTATTTGTTAAAATTGTATCTATGACGAAAAAAGCGCCTTTCATTGTTTATCGAGTTTTTCTCCATAAAAGTATGTGTGAAGTGAAATGATATATAATTGCACATAATACATGTACATGTATTTGTTTTGTAATATGAGGGAAAATACTTCTCTATACCTTCAGATAATCCTTTTTCATCATTTATTTCAATGTTTTTCTTCTGAACCACTTCATAAAAACGACTTATATTTTGCTCCACCTCTAGCATCTTTTCCGTCCAATTGGTCTCAACCTGCTTTAGATGTTGTTTTTCCTCTTCTGATTTCTTAGTATAGTTGTTTTGCAAAACGTTAATCATTTGTAGCACTGCACGCGTCTTTTCTTCCAAGCCAGTTATATTTTTAATCATACTCCCCAAAGTTTTGTTACAATGATAAAAATTATGCATTTTTTCTTCCATAGAAGTTGTATGTTTAACCATATTATCCAAAGTTTTGTTACAATTTGACAATTCATTCACCCACGCTTCCGTTTCTTGTTTCTTTTTAACATAACTTTGGAATTCGTTGTGTAATGTATCTAAATTATCAGCAAGTTTTTTGTATTTTGCTGACATATCAGCCCCTTCACAGCCACAGACTTCCGAAGACTCACCGGGAACTATTTTAAAAGGAACTTTTTGACAAGATTGCGATATAACATCTGTGTCGGTGTTTCGATGTAATACATACATGTTAATAATCCCACATATCTGAAAACTGTAAAAAATAAAATTTACACCTGTGTCTCATACGTACAATAAAATGGCAAACATATTATTTCATATTATCCTACCGAATTGCTTAACTGTATGACAATTTTCAAAAAGCATAACCAAAATAGATTACAAAATTAGTCCAACTGTAGTAAAATTTTCTTCATACAACATTTAAGTTTTTTTTCTTTTCAGTTTTATCCTTCAATATGATGTAGTTTGGAAACAAATCGTTTAAACAAGAGGTTGCTATTAAAGAAGGGTGCATATGGATGGTTAAATGGTCACAGGACAATTTTTAGACCATTTGCCCGAACACTCTGGATTTTCCTTTGCTAAAAAAAGTTTGACTAGAAAAAGTCTATTTCATATTTTTAGAAGGATTTGTTGGGTAACTTGCAGCCCACCCATCCTCCTTTAAAATTATTTCATTTACAAGGTAGATACCGATAATTAATTTTATGCAAAAATGTTAAACAGTCACATAAATCCCATGTTTGTAACACCTCTTTTGATTTTCAAGGCTTCTGGCTTGAGAGGTATGCTTACTCTACAATGCTTTAGAAGATCTTTTTTCCTTTAACGGGAATACATGTACTTACATATGCAATACTCCTGTAATTAAAACCACACCCCGTAGCTTTTTGTCTTTCCATATTTCAATAGAGGTTGTTTTTAGCCCTTCCTCAGATTTAGTTCTATTGTCTTTAACAGCAGACAGTTCCTGAAAATCCTTCCTGTCTGTTGAATTTTCATTGAAAGAGAAATCATCATCAAAGGTTTCAGCTTCTGTTTCTTTGTTATTCTTTCCTCTGCCTCCTCCTTTTGCCTTGCTCTTTTTAGTCATTGTTGAATAACTCTTACTTTCTCATCTATTCTTCATCTTTTAAAAGAGAAAAGTATAAAAGAATAAATTCCTATATCTGTTCCATTGTTCGATTTCATGTCATTAAAATACTTTCTAAAAACAGTATCGTCTTTTATGAACAACAATCCTTGCACAGGAACTAACCATAAGTGAAAGGTTGACTTTAAAAAGAAAAGATTGATATTTTACTGATCTGTAAAAGTGGTACATGCTTTAATCGTCGGAAGCCTCAGATTTAAATGCTCGGACCGCTCATATATTGAAGGGGGTGCCGATTAGGACTCATGGCTTGCAACAATAGCATAACACCTACATATTGTCTGAGTCCTTTCAAATCAAGATAACAATATTATCACAATATTATCGGTAAAGGTAGTTACATATTGAGAGCATATCACAATAAGTTCGTCTACTCTACCAATCACGTTCCTCATATCACTAATATATGAGAATAAAAATCAAAATCATTTTAACAAATCGATAAATAAAGCATGTTTAACATGTTCATATTGTGGACTGATTGTGTCGCTTATCTTTTGAGGAAGAAAAAAACTTTCAAATTTTTCCCGTTGCAAAATAGATGGTGCAACATTCCTTCACTGGTTACTGATTAAATTAATGCCAGTTTGTTTAGAAGTGATCCGTATTTTCTCAAATTTTTATCATTATGTATTAACCAACTTGAGCATAATTGGTGAATAAAATATATTAATTAATACTTTATGTAGCTATGTATACATGCTTGATTTAATACGATATCAAGCACTCCATGTTTTGAACTTTACTTCCCTTACGACAAAGATTTTATAAAAACAATTAGCTCTCGTGTTCAGAATACCTGGTATGGTGCATAGTAAAATTCCAAAAGTCTATATAATCTACTTTCAGTTCAGTCCTTGCAACTAAGAACGATAACTAACGATCATAGATCAGGCCCTGAGATCATGAAACAGACTTAGACTTAATTCAAAATTTAAATTTTCATAACTTGTTTATTGTTTGTGAGATGAATCTCTTCATTTGCTGATAACAGTAGTTTAATAATGCAACGTTGAATAACATTTTTATCTTGGACTGCTTGACTTAAAAGTCATTTCAGAGCAATTTAGATTTTGACTTAAGCTTAAGATGTTTCGTGATTCAGAGGTCTAATTCCCAAGAATATTTTACATGAATGTCTTCTTAATGTGAAATGCTCCTCATGTTGATAAATCAAACAGATAGAAGAGGTGTGTTTGTTAAGAATACATTAAGGTATATTTTTAAGGGTTGTTTTGATCATCGTGACGAACATTATTGTCCATTAATTACATTTATCATGTTAGTGACTGTAATTTTTAACAGAAAACTTCCTATAGTGCAGGATTTGGGATTGCTAACATCATCAACATCGTAAATTACATTTAAAGTTCACGTGCTTCTTGTAGTTGTAATTTGAATTTATTAATCAGACATATGTAAAATTGGAATGTTCAGTCTCACACAAGGTCTCGCATCTTAAGAGCTTAAAAACTGCCTGCCTTTGTAAAACCCTCCTAGTTTCTGTATTTTAAGATCCATATATCTATCAAAAACGTCTACTAAATAGAAAAAAAAAATGTTTTGAAATATGAAGATAACGAACAACTTGATTATGCTTTAAAAAATGTATTTTTATTGAAAAATTAATGAAAAAAAATTTCAACGGGTATTTTTTCCCAAATTTTAAAGTTAATTTTTCAAAGTTAGTCGATTCTAGGTGGATATCTTTATCCCTATTCCACTGGGTTTCCGCTTCATCCAAACTCTAAAAAAAAATAAACATAGGCTGTTAGTAAACCATATAAAAGTACGCATAGTTTTTTAAAACATAAATGGCATAAAAGCACCGACAGAAACAAACATAATAAAAAGATGAAGACAATTGGCAAAAATAACGAACCCTGGAAACATCAGAGATAGGACCAGGTGCCTAGGAGGAGTAAGAGTCCCCTATCAATTGGTCATCTGTCGTGAGCCCTCTTTTATGATCACTGGTCAAAGGAGGTATCAGTAGTCAAAATAAGCGAAAAAAGAATGACCAGACAATTGGTATGAAACACGTAAGTCCAAATACGACTCATAGAAAGGTGTCGATACGATATATTCCGGTGAGCTTGAGATAAAAGATACCACAGAGTCTGACACATCTGTTTCATATTTGGATATTTTACTTGAAAAAGACGTTAATGGAAATCTAACAACCAAGCTTTATGATAAACGCGATGACTTTAACTTTTCAATCGTCAACTTCCCTTACTTATGCAGCAATATACCCTCATCACCTGCAAACGGGGTATATATCTCTCAGTTGATTCGATACGCAAGGACATGCTCTACGTATGTACAATTTCTAAAACGAGGTAAATTATTGACAAACAAGTTGATGAAACAAGAATATCAGCAGTCTCGTTTAAAGTCATCATTTCGTAAGTTCTATGGTCGATACAATGACCTTGTCAGCAAATACAATTTATCATTGAGTCAAATTACATAGATATCCATACTGACAATGAGGAACTCCAGCATCCTGAAAATATCAACTTCAGAGTAGAATCAGAATGTTTTAACAAAGTAATTTTGTAGGTGACCAGTCACAAGATATGAAAATTTCTGAGTTCCATATTCATGAAGAGGCTACTGTTTATGATGTAAAAAAGCCTGGCCTTTAATTTACGCTGAGGAAGGGTGGTAAAAGTGATGAAGAGTCTTACGATTTGATGTTATTAATTTGGGGGGGGGGGGGTGATTTAAAGTTTTTTTTTAAAGTTCTTTGAGTTTGTATTGAATCCACATTTGATTAACACCACATCTCAAATGCATAAATTTATATTAGACATACACAGAAATACAGATACATGCAAGCAATAATAGCACTAAAACTGTTTTGAAAGGACAAGTTACATGTATAATTATGAGTTAAAGGTGCTTAGACACAGATTTGACCTTAATATTTTCTCAAATTTTCTGTTTAATATCACGACTTATATATTGCAATAGCATTTCACACAAAAATATAATTAAAAACTTATTAAATCTGGAAATGATTGGAACTACGAATTCCGGGACGCATTTGATTAATTAACACATCTTTGCACTTACTTACATTTTAACTTTATCCTTAATATTTAAGAAAAGAAGCGGTTTTGTTATTTATTAATTAAAAATATTGCATCTTTAATCCAGAAAATTCAGAGTAGAAATGTTCGAAAGCAAACCAACTCACCAGTATTGTCAGTCCGTGCTCTGTGATGTGTACAGAGTTAAACAAATTGAACACACCCGTGAAACGTAGACTGTTTTTGTAAACAGGGCACGAGCTCTGTTATTGTTAATGTTTACGATTCACCGGGTGTGTTCAATTGTTAAACTCTGCACACACCGCTGAGCACGGACTTAAATACTGTGAGTTGGTTTTGCTTTCGAACATTTCTGCTCTGAATTTTCTGGGTTATAGTTTTAATATATTTCATTAACACACAACAAATTGCCACTTTTATTAAGTATTAAGAATAAAATTAAAATATGTGAAAGCGCGCAAGGATGTGTCAATCCAACGCGTCCAGAAATTCGAAGTTTTAATAACTTTGAGATTTTTATTATATTTTAGTATGAAATGCTATAGCAACATATAAGTCATGAAATTAAACTGAAAATTTGAGGAAATATTAATTTCAAATCTGTGTCCAAGCACCTTTAAGTTATATAAAACCGAATTTAAAATCAAAAGTTATAATAACTTTTTATTTTATATAAATCAGACATATAT